TGGTGCCCAAGATAGACGGCTGTTCGTGCCATCATCGTCGCCATAATCACCGTGCGTTGTCCCAGGCTTCATGCTTAATGAGTCCTCGTGACATGTCTACGTGTGGTCCTGCCATTAGCCTTACCTTGTGGCTTTGTGATGTGCTCACTACGTTTCCCAGAATCCCCTTTGCAGGGTGCTTCTGGTTAGGGTGGGCCCTACGAGGTATTTTTGGTGCCAGATTCTGAGGGTGGCTGTGACACGGCTGCCATTTTGTTTTTGTACTCCCCCCACCTTGTTGGCCTGGGGCCGCAGCAATGAACTGGCTCCACCTTCCCCTGGACCCTCCTTCTTCTTCACCATCCCCTGGGCCAGGGGTGCGTTTGGCTGTGCGATGAAGGATGCCAGCCTCTCTTGTAGGACACCCACCTCTTTGAAGTGGGAGGCGGTGAGGACTGACACCAGTTTGGGTTGGCCCTGGCCTGCTCCTACTCGTGTCCATGGATTCCAACTTGTGCTTCTTCACCGCCTTGCAACCATCTGCCTGCCCCACAGATTTCAAGTACCAGCATCAGGCAGGGACATAGAGCCTCCCCAGGGACTGTTGGACAGACACGATCGACCAAGGCCGAATCCTTGACATACATATTCTAGCGTGGCCCTGCTTCTGGGATTGAATTCTAACTGACCTTTTACAGAAGAGGAGAGTGACTTCCAGAAAGGGTAAATAATTCGTCTGAGTCCTCAAGGCAAGCAAAGAGGTAGAACCAGGCTTAGAACTTAATCTGACTCTGGCACTCACGTTCTTATTTGTTAGGTCATGTGGCCTCTTGAATACAAATTCACCAAGTGAATGAGTTCATATAAATATAATATCCAAAATGGTAAGAGCTGCTGAGTCAGGAAGTTGTTATTTTCCTGAGTACCTACTTGGTGCCCAGAGAGCCTGGACCTGGCGTGGGGCAAACCACTTGCTCCAGAACCTTCTTTGTGATCTATGACAATGGGTCCTTTTCATCCCATCCATGACCAAACAATCACCAAATCTGTGGATTTGGTAGATCTGTACCAAACAATCACCAAATCCAGGTAGAGCTGTAAGCATAGCTCTCTCCTCCTTTGAAAACACGGTTTAGAAGCATCTTTGCAGACACGACTGTTGGTAGGATATGTGAAGATCACAGATAAACAGGCATAAATTAGTGTCAGAAAGGGCTGCGGGACAATGATTTTATTTTCCATTCAATGTGCTTCGGTTAGGGAAATACATGACTAGTCACTGCTACTTAAAGTAACAACAGAGAAGATTAATCCAGACACGCCCGTATCTTCTGAACAGAGGCAGGCAATTTGCAGACACCAGTGTTGCTTAACTCTAAAAAAACAACCTGACATTTACTTCTTTTTAGGAGTTTTTTTTGTTTTTTCCTTGCGTGACAACGTCTTTACCTTTAAACGATTATCTGCACGCTGAGTAATAACATGTAACATGTTCTTGGATCCTGTCCTCCAGTAATTTTGATTAAGAGAGATGAAAAGCAGCCCAAACGTTTAGAGTAGTATTCATTGTTTTAAAACGATGAAATTGGCCAGAAAGGGCTCTTTGAAGGCTGGCTGGCTGCTGGAAGCCGAGCTGTCCCAGCCTGAGTGGCAGGGCCCGGGCTGTGGACGGATTGGTGACTGCAGGGCGGCCCGCCGACAGGGAAGCTTCTCGTCCTCCCGCTTTTGGGTAATTTGGCCTTAAAACTACCGGGGGTATTGTCTGTTGGGGAATGGCCCTCGGCAGGCCCCCCGGGAAAAGAACCATTAGGGAAGAAAATAAGGTCCCGCAAGAAATTGTGCGGCCTTACGTTTCGCCCTTGCCATCCTCTATGGAGACTCCTCTACTTACAGGAAGGATAGCCTCATGCCTTTGCCAGCAAGAGGGCCTGTAAAGGAGAGACATATGGATTTGAAAGCCCCACTCCAGCAACTAAGGAGTGTACCTCTGGGCACAGGTGACTTCAACCCCTAGGCCCACCTGGCCCCCCGGAGGCATTCCAGATGATGACTGAACCTAGTCGGTTAAGCTACAGAACGGTTCATTGGTTCCTAGGTGCGTTGTCTCTCTCAGAATGTATGAGGCATGGGTTTCTAAGGCTTTTTCGGCCTCTTTCTGGCACCTCGGACCGAGGCAAACACATTGTTCTTCTGGCCTCATGTGGTTAGGAGGTCGTGTCCCTGTCACTGTTCCACTTGAGGTGCTGAGAAATCGAGGGCCTCTCACGAGAACAGCAAAGCAAATGCTTTGTAGATTATAGATAAACGCAGATGCGTAATGGAATAATGTAAGAAATTAATCTATAATCAAAGGGTAGGCGGGCAAGTTAGGGGAAAATCGCCATGTTACTTCTTAAAGGTCGTTTATACATAGGAGCATTTTCAAAATTAGGTAATGTTAGAAAAACATCGTTGACGGATGCTACAAGGAAATCACTAGCACATCTAATGCCACGTTTACTGCAATAAATCAGCCAGTTCAACCCACTGCTGTTGTCTGTGTCCATTTTTATGTTTTAGTTTTTTATTTTAGTTTTTATTTTATTTTCACCGATGTTTTTTTTACTACATCAAAGAAACAAAACATATGGATACGTATGTTGCCTGAGCTAGAAGGAAGAGGAAAATGGACAACTTCTACACTATTGTTTCTAAGAAACACGAGGTACAAGGGGAATATCTTTGCTAAGCTCTAAGTTCGCACAAAGAAGCTAGATTTGCTATTCTCCAAAAAGTGAAGGGCCCCGTGACGCAATATACAGAAATAATTTAACGCCTTTTCACAAGAATGTGAGTCAAGCTTTGCTGAAGTTTCTGGTTCGACGAAGGCATTTAAAATGTTATTTATTGGGGCGCCTGGGTGGCGCAGTCGGTTGAGCGTCCG